TTGGGCGCCATGCGTGTTAGAGCCCCGGGGTGTTGGAGCCAGGCTGTGTTGGAACCATGCTGTGTTGGAGCCATGCTGTGTTGGCGCCATGCTGTGTTGGAGCCAGGCTGTGTTGGAGCCAGGCTGTGTTGGCGCCATGCAGTGTTGTAGGCATGCTCTGTTGGAGCCAGGCTGTGTTGGAGCCATGCTGTGTTGGAGCCAGGCTGTTTTGGCGCCATGCTGTGTTGGAGCCAGGCTGTGTTGGCGCCATGCTGTGTTGGAACCATACTGTGTTGGAGCCATGCTGTGTTGGCGCCATGCTCTGTTGGAGCCATGCTGTGTTGGAGCCTGGCTGTGTTGGCGCCATGCAGTGTTGTAGCCATGCTCTGTAGGAGTCTGGCTGTGTTGGAGCCATGCTGTGTTGGAGCCAGGCTGTGTTGGCGCAATGCTGTGTTGGAGCCATGCTGTGTTGGCGCCATGCTGTGTTGGCGCCATGCTGTGTTGGAGCCAGGCTGTGTTGGAGCCAGGCTGTGTTGGCGCCATGCAGTGTTGTAGGCATGCTCTGCTGGAGCCAGGCTGTGTTGGAGCCATGCTGTGTTGAAGCCAGGCTGTTTTGGCGCCATGCTGTGTTGGAGCCAGGCTGTGTTGGCGCCATGCTGTGTTGGAACCATACTGTGTTGGAGCCATGCTGTGTTGGCGCCATGCTCTGTTGGAGCCATGCTGTGTTGGAGCCTGGCTGTGTTGGCGCCATGCAGTGTTGTAGCCATGCTCTGTAGGAGTCAGTCTGTGTTGGAGCCATGCTGTGTTGGAGCCAGGCTGTGTTGGAGCGAGGCTGTGTTGGAGTCATGCTGTGTTGGAGCCATGCTGTGTTGGAGCCATGCTGTGTTGGAGCCAAGGTGTGTTGAAGCCAGGCTGTGTTGGAGCCATGCTGTGTTGCAGCCAGGCTGTGTTCTAACCAGGCTGTGTTGGAGCCAGGCTATGTTGGAGCCAGGCTGTGGTGGACCCAGGGTGTGTTGGAGCCAGGGTGCGTTGGAGCCAGGCTGTGTTGGAGCCAGGCTGTGTGGGAGCCAGGGTGCTTTGGAGCCAGGGTGCATTGGAGCCAGATTGTGTTGGAGCGATGGGATGTTGCAGCCAAGCTGTGTTGGAGCCATGTTGTGTCGAAGCCAGGCTGCGCTGGAGCCAGATTGTGTTGGAGTCATGGTATGTTGGAGCCGAGGTGTGTTGGAGCCAGATTGTGTTGGAGCCAGATTGTGTTGGAGCCAGGCTACGTTGGAGCCATTCTATGTTGGAGCCAGATTGTGTTGGAGCCATAGTATGTTGGAGCTAGGCCGTGTTGGAGGCAGATTGTGTTGGAGCCAGATTGTGTTGGAGCCAGATTGTGTTGGACCCAGGCTGTGTTAGAGCCAGGCTGTGTTGGAGCTATATTTTTTTGGAGCATGCTGTGTTGGAGCCAGATTGTGTTGAAGCCATGCTGTGTTTGAGCCACGCTGTGTTGGAGCCAGATTGTGTTGGAGCCATGCTGTGTTGGAGCCAGATTGCGTTGGAGCCAGACTGTGTTCGACCCAGGCTGTGTTGGAGCCAGGCTGCGTTGGAGCCAGATTTTCTTGGAGCATGCTGTGTTGGAGCCAGATTGTGTTGAAACCATGCTGTGTTGAAGCCAGGCTGTGTTGTAGCCATGCTGTGCTGGAGTCTGATTGTGTTGGAGCCATGCTGTGTTGGAGCCATGCTGTGTTGGAGCCATGCTGTGTTGGATCCATGCTGTGTTGGAGGCAGATTGTGTTGGAGCCATGCTGTGTTGGAGCCAGATTGCGTTGGAGCCATGCTGTGTTGGAGCCAGATTGTGTTGGAGCCATGCTGTGTTGGAGCCAGATTGTGTTGAAGCCATGCTGTGCTGGAGACATGCTGTGTTGGAGCCATGCTGTGTTGGAACCAGATTGAGTTGGAGCCAGATTGTGTTGGAGCCATGCTGTGTTGGAGCCAGATTGTGTTGAAGTCATGCTGTGTTGGAGCCATGCTGTGTTGGAGCCAAATTGTGTTGGAGCCATGCTGTGTTGGAGCCAGATTGTGTTGGAGCCATGCTGTGTTGGAGCCAGGCTATGTGGGAGCCAAGCAGTTTGGGAGCCAGGCTGTGTGGGAGCCAGGCTGTGTGGGAGCCAGGCTGTGTGGGAGCCAAGCAGTATGGGACCAGGCTGTGTGGGAACCAGTCTGTGTGGGAGCCAGGCTGTGTGGGAGCCAGGCTGTGTGGGAGCCAGGCTGTGTGGGAGAGAGGCTGTTTTGGAGCCAAGCAGTGTGGGAGCCAGGCTGTGTGGGAGCCAGGCTATGTGGGAGCCAGGCTGTGTGGGAGCTTGGCTGTTTGGGAGCCAGGCTGTGTGGAAGCCAGGTTGTGTGGGAGCCAGGCTGTGTGGGAGCCAAGCAGTGTGGTAGCCAGGCTGTGTGGGAGCCAGTCTGTGTGGGAGCCAGGCTGTGTGGGAGCCAGGCTGTGTGGGAGCCAGGCTGTGTGGGAGAGAGGCTGTTTTGGAGGTAAGCAGTGTGGGAGCCAGGCTGTGTGGGAGCCAGGCTGTATGTGAGCCAGGCTGTGTGGGAGCCAGGCTGTGTGGGAGTCAGGCTGTTTGGGAGCCAGGCTGTGTGGGAGCCAGACTGTGTGGGAGCCAATCTGTGTGGGAGCCAGCCTGTGTGGGAGCCAGGCTGTGTGGGAGCCAGGCTGTGTGGGAGCCAAGCAGTGTGGGAGCCAGGCTGTGTGGGATCCAGGCTGTGCGGGAGCCAGGCTGTGTGGGAGCCAAGCAGTGTGGGAGCCAGGCTATGTGGGAGCCAGGCTGTGTGGGAGCCAGGCTGTGTGGGAACCAGGCTGTGTGGGACCCAAGCTATGGGGGAGGCAGGCTGTGTGGGAGCCAGGCTGTGTGGGAGCCAGGCTGTGTGGGATCCAGGCTGTGTGGGAGCCAGGCTGTGTGGGAACCAGGTTGTGTGGGAGCCAGACTATGTGGGAGCCAGGCTGTGTGGGAGCCAAGCTGTGTTGGAGCCAAGCTGTGTGGGAGCCAGGCTGTGGGAGCCAGGCTGTGTGGGAGCCAGGCTGTGTGGGAGCCAAGGTGTGTGGGAGCCAGGCTATGTGGGAGCCAGGCTGTGGGAGCCAGGCTGTGTGGGATCCAAGCTGTGTGGGAGCCAGGCTGTGTGGGAGGCAGGCTGTGTGGGAGCCAAGCTGTGTGGGAGCCAGGCTATGTGGGAGCCAGGCTGTGTGGGAGCCAGGCTGTGTGGGAGCCAAGCTGTGTGGGAGCCAGGCTATGTGGGAGCCAGGCTATGTGGGAGCCAGGCTGTGTGGGAGCCAAGCTGTGTGGGAGCCAGGCTATGTGGGAGCCAAGCTGTGTGGGAACCCGGCTATGTGGGAGCCAGGCTGTGTGGGAGCCAGGCTATGTGGGAGCCAGGCTGTGTGGGAGCCAAGCTGCGTGGGAGCCAGGCTATGTGGGAGCCAGGCTGTGTGGGAGCCAAGCTGTGTGGAAGCCAGGCTATGTGGGAGCCACGCTGTGTGGGAACCAGGCTATGTGGGAGCCAGGCTGTGTGGGAGCCAGGCTATGTGGGAGCCAGGCTGTGTGGGAGCCAGGCTGTGTGGGAGCCAAGCTGCGTGGGAGCCAGGCTATGTGGGAGCCAGGCTGTGTGGTGAGCCAGAGCTGTGTGGGAGCCAAGCTGCGTGGGAGCCAGGCTATGTGGGAGCCAGGCTGTGTGGGAGCCAAGTTGTGTGAGAACCAGGCTATGTGGGAGCCAGGCTGTGTGGGAGCCAGGCTGTGTGGGAGCCAAGCTGTGTGGGAGCCAGGCTGTGTGGGAGCCAGGCTGTGTGGGAGCCAGTTTGTGTGGGAGCCAGGCTATATGGTGAGCCAGGCTTGTGGGGAGCCAGGCTGTGTGGGAGTCCAGGCTATTTGGGAGCCAGGCTGTGTGGGAGCCAGGTTGTGTGGGAGCCAGGCTATATGGGAGCCAGGCTGTGTGGGAGCCAGGCTATGTGGGAGCCAGGCTGTGTGGGAGCCAGGCTATGTGGGAGCCAGGCTGTGTGGGAGCCAGGTTGTGTGGGAGCCAGGCTATGTGGGAGCCAGGCTGTGTGGGAGCCAGGCTATGTGGGAGCCAGGCTGTGTGGAAGCCAGGCTATGTGGGAGCCAGGCTGTGTGGGAGCCAGGTTGTGTGGGAGCCAGGCTATATGGGAGCCAGGCTGTGTGGGAGCCAGGCTATGTGGGAGCCAGGCTGTGTGGGAGCCAGGTTGTGTGGGAGCCAGGCTATATGGGAGCCAGGCTGTGTGGGAGCCAGGCTATATGGGAGCCAGGCTGTGTGGGAGCCAGGCTGTGTGGGAGCCAGGCTATATGGGAGCCAGGCTGTGTGGGAGCCAGGCTATATGGGAGCCAGGCTGTCTGATACTGTAAGGTCTCGTACACCTCACTAACACTCTCTCTCACACACACACTTACATATTACCACTCCAGATTCTCTAAGCACAGATAATGCTCTAGATTTTAACATAAGAGGCCTGTTTTATATATAATATATATATATATATATATATATATATATATATATATATATATATATATATATATATATATATAATAGGTTGATGGAGGTGGGATGAGAGGAGGATGGGTATGCGCCTGGCAGGGTGTGGGTTGCCCCTGAGGCCAAGTGGGCAAGCCCATGGCCCAGTAGTATGGATATTCTTCTTATTTACACCCTCTACCTCTTACCCAGTATCTTAACAACTCTGTGTAACTGAATGTATTAACCTACCTTCTCTCCCAGAGCTTGAATAATTATATCAGGGGGATAATTAACTCTGGTAAGTCAAAATACAGCTTATAATATGGCTTTGGGTGCTGGCCGTGCGCGCGCGCCTTACCGCGCTTCACGTTTTTCTTCTCCTGGCGTTGACCAATCAGGAGGCTCAAGATGACGTAGTGCTCCGGAGCGCAACCAATGAACGCGCCAATGAATGACATCATAGCTAAAAATAACCAGGTATATATATGAGGGTTCATAGGGGTGGATTTTCAGTGGCCAAGAGTGCAGTGCGATGGTAGGGCGAGGGGGCTGTTTGGAGCGGGGTGTAGATGACCAGTCAGGACATATACACCGCTGTCAAGTAACAGGATACACTTTGTATAGAGAGAGAGGGAAAGGCAAAGTTTTTCCCTGATAGAGCTATTGTGGAGGTAAGTATTGTCTTGATCCTCTGGCAGAAAAATTGTATGGTTACGGATATATGTTAAGAACATCACTATATATGTTAAGAACATCACTATATATTAAGAACATCACTATATATGTTAAGAACATCACTATATAGTTAAGAACATCACTATATATGTTAAGAATATCACTATATATGTTAAGAACATCACTATATATGTTAAGAAACACTAACTATAATATGTTAAGAACATCACTATATATGTTAAGAACATCACTATATGTTAAGAACATCACTATATATGTTAAGAACATCACTATATATGTTAAGAACATCACTATATATGTTAAGAATATCACTATATATGTTAAGAACATCACTATATATGTTAAGAACATCACTATATATGTTAAGAACATCACTATATATGTTAAGAACATCACTATATATGTTAAGAACATCACTATATATGTTAAGAACATCACTATATGTTAAGAACATCACTATATATGTTAAGAACATCACTATATATGTTAAGAACATCACTATATATGTTAAGAACATCACTATATATGTTAAGAACATCACTATATATGTTAAGAACATCACTATATGTTAAGAACATCACTATATGTTAAGAACATCACTATATATGTTAAGAACATCACTATATATGTTAAGAACATCACTATATATGTTAAGAACATCACTATATATGTTAAGAACATCACTATATATGTTAAGAACATCACTATATGTTAAGAACATCACTATATGTTAAGAACATCACTATATATGTTAAGAACATCACTATATGTTAAGAACATCACTATATATGTTAAGAACATCACTATATATGTTAAGAACATCACTATATAATGTTAAGAACATCACTAATAATGTTAAGAACATCACTATATATGTTAAGAACATCACTATATGTTAAGAACATCACTATATGTTAAGAACATCACTATATATGTCATCACTGAACTAAATCCAATACTTTACCACTTGTAAAATTATAAAATATTACATAAGCGAGTGTGCATATAACTGGTAAAATGGGATGTATGGTAGCACTAATGGGATGTATGGTAGCACTAATGGGATGTATGGTAGCAGTAATGGGATGTATGGTAGCAGTAATGGGATGTATGGTAGCAGTAATGGGATGTATGGTAGCACTAATGGGATGTATGGTAGCAGTAATGGGATGTATGGTAGCAGTAATGGGATGTATGGTAGCACTAATGGGATATATGGTAGCACTAATGGGATGTATGGTAGCACTAATGGGATGTATGGTAGCACTAATGGGATGTATGGTAGCAGTAATGGGATGTATGGTAGCAGTAATGGGATGTATGGTAGCAGTAATGGGATGTATGGTAGCACTAATGGGATATATGGTAGCACTAATGGGATGTATGGTAGCACTAATGGGATGTATAGTAGCAGTAATTGTGAGTTAGTAGTAATGGGGTATTTGGTAAAAGTAATGACATGTATGGTAACAGTAATGGGATGTTTGGTAGCATTAATGGGATGTATGGCAGTAGTAATAGGATGTTTGGTAGTAGCAATGGGATGTTTGGTAGTAGCAATGGGATGTTTGGTAGTAGTAATGGGATGTTTGGTAGTAGTAAATGGGATGTTTGTAGTAGTAATGGGATGTTTGGTAGTAGTAATGGGATGCTTGGTAGTAGTAATGGGATGCTTGGTAGTAGTAATGGGATGTTTGGTAGTAGTAATGGGATGTTTGGTAGTAGTAATGGGATGTTTGGTAGTAGTAATGGGATGTATGGTAGTAATGGGATGTTTGGTAGTAGTAATGGGATGTTTGGTAGTAATGGGATGTATGGTAGTAATGGGATGTTTGGTAGTAGTAATGGGATGTTTGGTAGTAGTAATGGGATGTATGGTAGTAATGGGATGTTTGGTAGTAGTAATGGGATGTATGGTAGCACTAATGGGATGTATGGTAGCAGTAATGGGATGTATGGTAGCAGTAATGGGATGTATGGTAGCACTAATGGGATATATGGTAGCACTAATGGGATGTATGGTAGCACTAATGGGATGTATGGTAGCAGTAATTGTGAGTTAGTAGTAATGGGGTATTTGGTAAAAGTAATGACATGTATGGTAACAGTAATGGGATGTTTGGTAGCAGTAATGGGATGTATGGCAGTAGTAATGGGATGTTTGGTAGTAGTAATGGGATGTTTGGTAGTAGTAATGGGATGTTTGGTAGTAGTAATGGGATGCTTGGTAGTAGTAATGGGATGTATAGTAGTAGTAATGGGATGTTTGGTAGTAATGGGATGTTTGGTAGTAGTAATGGGATGTTTGGTAGTAGTAATGGGATGTATGGTAGTAGTAATGGGATGTTTGGTAGTAATGGGATGTTTGGTAGTAGTAATGGGATGTATGGTAGTAATGGGATGTATGGTAGCAGTAATGGGATGTATAGTAGTAATGGGATGTATGGTAGTAGTAATGGGATGTTTGGTAGTAGTAATGAGATGTTTGGTAGCAGTAATGGGATGTATGGTAGTAGTAATGCGATGTATGGTAGTAGTAATGGGATGTTTCGTAGCAGTAATGGGATGTATGGTAGTAGTAATGGGATGTGTGGTAGTAGTAATGGGATGTATGGTAGTAGTAATGGGATGTATGATAGTAGTAATGGGATGTTTGGTAGTAATGGGATATTTGGTAGCAGTAATGGGATGTATGGTAGTAGTAATGGGATATTTGGTAGCAGTAATGGGATATATGGTAGTAATGGGATGATTGGTAGCAGTAATGGGATGTATGGTAGTAGTAATGGGATGTTTGGTAGCAGTAATGAGATGTATGGTAGTAGTAATGGGATGTTTGGTAGCAGTAATGGGATGTATGGTAGTAGTAATGAGATGTTTGGTAGCAGTAATGGGATGTATGGTAACAGTAATGGGATGCATGTTAGCAGTAATGGGATGCATGTTAGCAGTAATGGGATGTATGGTAACGGTAATGGGATGCATGGTAGCAGTAATGAGATGCATGGTAGAGTAATGATGTATGGTAACAGTAATGGGATGTATGGTAGCAGTAATGGGATGTATGGTAGCAGTAATGGGATATATGGTAACAGTAATGGGATGTATTGTAGCAAAAATGGGACTTTTTTGGGTTATCCCAGGTTCTCTACACATATGCTGCTATGTATGATAATTCTATGTAACTGTATTTGTGTATTTCTGAATAAACTTACTATATAGCGCCACAAAACCTAAATCTAGTCCACAGTGGTGTGCTGTCTTCTCTGCTGCATAACCCATAAGAGTTTAGCGCATGTTTTAGAATGCAAGTACCTCATAACCCGTACGCATTTAGCGCATTTTTTTTTTTAAGATTACAATCAGCCTGGTGGCTAAAGCTCCCGCTTCACACACGGAGGGCCCGGGTTCGATTCCCGGCGGGTGGAAACATTCGACACGTTTCCTTACACCTGTTGTCCTGTTCACCTAGCAGCAAATAGGTACCTGGGTGTTAGTCGACTGGTGTGGGTCGCATCCTGGGGGACAAGATTAAGGACCCCAATGGAAATAAGTTAGACAGTCCTCGATGACGCACTGGTTATCCTGGGTGGCTAACCCTCCGGGGTTAAAAATCCGAACGAAATCTTATCTTATCTTATCTTATCTTAACTATTATTTGCTGGAAGGGGAGGTGCCTTGATGGTGGTTAGAGGCTCTTGATCCAAGGAACTGGATTGATCTTCCCCTTCCTCGGATCGAACCTCAATGCCTATCGTTGCCCAAACTCGGAAAGGGACTCCAGCGTATTTAGCACGTCCTAGTAATTATAATCCTCTGATCTAAAGCTGATACCTCCCAGGCGCTGTTATAACCCCTGTGGGTTTAGCGCAGTGGGTTTGATCCCATTACAGTAAATAGTCATCCCGAGGGAGGGACACTTGTGTACCATTGGGACATTTATTAAGGAAACGTTTCGCCCCCTTCCCCTGAGTGGCTACTTCAGGACTGAAGCCGCCACTTGGGGTGAAGTTTCCTTAAATGTTCTGAGCTATACACAAGTGCCCTTTTCCATATTAACTGGAATTGTTAGTAACTCAGGATAACCAAAGAAGCTGCGTCCTCTGGCTTATTGCCACTGGAATCCTTTGTGTGGAAAAGTCGAGAATGATTCCACACATTTGTTGCCCTTGGTACCTGGGTGATGCCCACTCTTGTAGAACGCACCTAAACAAGCCAGAGGCAGGCTTGACTGGGTTACTAACCCTACTGACGTTAGTCAGTCCAACAATGATAGCACGTGTGATATGTGGTCTGGGACCGGCAGAGTAGGGGTGGCATGAAGTCTGGGACCGGCAGAGTACATGTGGCATCAGGTCTGGGACCAGCAGAAATACTATCACCATAATATATGCACGGACACGGTATATACACTTGAGTACTGGTTGTCAGTGTATGTACACACACACACACACACACACACACACACACACACACACACACACACACACACACAACGTATCTATATATATATATATATAATATATATATATATATATATATATATATATATAAGTTTGTATGAGTATATATCAGCGTATATACGCAGTCATATATATGTCGGAGTGTATATAGAGGTGTATATACAGTTTATTCTCTATATTAGAGATTAAAGTATCCTTGGCCCCCGTATAGTAGACTTCGAATCTAGCACACTTCAAGTGGGAGGAGAATCATGATACTCGTGAAGGGCTCATGATTCGGGGAATTGGGCCTCCATTCGGGTACATATAAGCGCACTGTGAAGGCAACAGAAGCGCAGGTATACTGCTTTTCTGCCCTTCAATGTTGATGTATAGCAGAAACGCAAACCCAAGCACCATCCAGAGGCTCTCCTCTCTGGGTTGTACACACCCACGCTAACGCTCACCCATCCACCCACCGGCTCGTCCGCTCCTTCACTTGCATCTCGACCACTCGCCCTCATCTACTCACC